GCATACGCACGCATGCACGCACGCACACACACATACACACATACACACACATACACACATACACACATACACACACCATACACACACACATACACACACACACACACACACACACACACACATATATATATATATTTACATCGACTGAAAATCATTGGCCTACTATATTTACACTCTACTGGAATGGGGCAATAAATCTTGAGAGATGCAAAGAATTAAAAGGTCTAGATCTATACTCTCAAAACAAAATGCGCCTCGCGAAATATCACTTCCGGCACTTCCGTTGTGAAGGACAGCTGTGCAGATTTGTTTCGTTTTTCAGTGGAATAATTTCAAAGGCCAAAAAAGGAAGGGAACTTTTTGTCAAATGTATTTTTTCTAAAATCAGGAAATGAATAAATTTTAAAAAATCGGGCTCCGGCATGGGGACTTATCCATCTTTTTGCAGGTACTTGCCAACTTTCAACTCTGTAACTGTCGTAGTTTTATGGGAAAAGTGACACATGTGTTTCCAAGTTGCCAAATGTATAATAGATAGAAACTTAAAAGTGTGTTTGCGCTTGTTTTTGGAGTGTATCAACATTGGTGGAACGGACATAATGTGTAGAAAATCAAATTGGAGAATATTATTATTGTGTTTGTACTGTAATGAGTAATATCTCAATACGATAGTTTCAAAAAGATGGGTAAACATTGCAGTCACAAAAACCTCGCAAAACTGTATGTTTTACTTTTCCTTGCACAGTTTAACTGTTATTGTAAAGTTGTGTTTCTCTTCACTTGCAAGAAGTGTTTTCATTTTATCATTTATGTTAAAAAAAACCCAACACAATTCTTAACCTTTTCTTTCTTATGCACCCCCCCCCGCTCCCCCAAATCACCTCCACCGTTCAGATTTGAGTATGTAAGATGCGGTGGCGCAAGCACATGTCGGGATGGACACCCAAAGACGGTTACTCTCACAAGTGACGTACAAGTTATGTAGACCTGTGACGTTGATGTGACGTAAATGCCAAGTCTTCGCCTTCCTTTGAAAAATTTGGAACGTTATACGTTCTTTATGGGCATTATATTTCTTCAGTGCAATAAACTCATTGAACACAACGAAATTCTCGCTGTGAGTCTTTTTTGGATTTAAATAAAATGGGAATAATGTTCTGTAATCCGGACACCATATCATATTAGGATGTGCAAAAAATTGATCTGGTCAGCAGAAGGTCCGAGTTCGAGTCCAAATGCAGTTAAGGAAACCCTCACACTCCCCCCCCCCTCAACCCTCGCCCTTACAAAAGTTACAGTACAGTGGAACCTGCTCTAACGGCCACTTGCTCAAGTCAGTTCTCTGCACAAAATATCAGTTCTTACTAGAACTTTTGCACTTTTTTCTATACTTCAATGGCACAGTACAAGACAGGCACCTGTCTAAAACAACCACTTTTCTCCTTGACAATGGATGGCTGTCTTGAACAGTTTCGACTGTATTTCCCTTCTGCATGTTGTTCTGGTGAGAGTCCAGGTGTCCGATCTTGGTGATGGTTATACACAGTGACTTTTTTGGGTTGGTAAGTGTTTTATGGCGCTTGCAACTGCATAAGCTCATATGAGCGCGCAGGACAAATTTAAACATTTTCAGTTGGTAGGAAATTTTGAATTTTGCCCGGGTGGCGGCTTCAATCGATTGTGGACCACCATGGGATCTTTAACGTGTGCAACGTGCACATGGGACCTCCGAGATTTTTCGCCCTTGTCCGAGAAGGCTGGGTGTAGATCTTTCCTACCATAAGACCAGGTGTGTCGCTGAAAGACAGCAGTAAGGAGGAGCCAAGGAGTAGCAGTAGAAAGGCTGCAGAAAGAGTCGGGAGCCCAGAGGAGGGGGCAAAGGAGGTGAGGGGGTGAGGGCAGAAACTGGAGGCAACAACGGACAACAGAGTATTGCTAGAGAGCAGAAAAAGAGGTAAAAATGAGACATTTCAGAGAAGAAAAATATCACTTACTATCCGGATTCGAACCCGGGACTTGTTGAATGAGAGGTGAACATCGTAACCTCTAGACCACGAGAGCCCCCCCCTCCCCCCCTCACACTCAGTGTCTAGCAGAATGGTGAACTCCAACATTACATAATGTTTCATCCTGCTCGGTCCAAGTGTTATTTGCTTGTTTTGTGAGTGGGTGGTTTCTGGGTGCTCTGCTGTGGTTTTTATTTTCCTTTTCTCTCCTCTTTTTTATGCATGGGACTCTCCTGTAACACATTTGTTTTTTGGCACTTATATGACTTTATTGTGCTGCAAGTGCCGTAAAAGTCTTATGAAAAAAGGAACAATTTTGTTTGGTCGGTTGATTGAACATCTTTGGATAGAAGAGATAAAAATTAATCAATTCCACTTTATTGATAGTCTTGAGACATTTGTTTTACAATGGCGTATATAAATACACACATTAATCAACACGTTATATTAATACATACATGCATAAAATATAGCCAACACAATATCACAGACATAGACGATCCTCACAACTTCGCTGTGCAACGCGCCGTTTTTTTAAAAAGCAAGCTGATTCGTGTCTTGCTTGAGGTCACACACAGTAAACCACCCATCTAAACGCGATGCTACTATTCACACGAACTTCATGATATTGTTGTGAGACTGAGTTGATTAACTACTAAACCACTGCCCCCTCCCCACCCCCACCCCCAAGCCCTCACCCCAACCCCATACACAGCTGAATTAGTAGAGAACTTAAAACAATATTACAGTTATACTTGAAAAGTTTCAGCAAAGACGTACGAGCCTATTCCCCGCTTTGTTGTAAACAAGTCCAATTTGAACTGCGTAAAGATACGACGTTTATGAGATGCTGCCCAAGAAATTCCACCGCATATCGTACACAACAGGATGATTCACTGTCTCATATTGATATCCTGAAAAAATCAACTTACATTAATTTATTTCATACCAAAAGCATCTTTAAAAAAAATAAACTATAGAAGCTTCAAAGAGTGGAAGAATTGCTTGAGGATTGAAGAAATAGGATGTATTCACAAGCCTCAGCCACAACCAAAATAAAATAAGAAAACATATTTAGAAAGAAAAAAGGAAGACAGAAAGAAAAACAGAGAGAAAAAAGAAAGAAAGAAAGAAAAAAAGAAAGAAAAAAAGAAAAGAAACAAAATCCCTCTCAACGTGACGCCAGTTTCACAAAGAGGCCAACACTTCGGCGTATCCCACATCCGCGCCGCCCACAGACCACGTGACTCGGGTCGTGGCCGTGGAATAAACAAATTGTGGCCAGGTGGGCGTGTGGGACAGGATGATGGGGCAGTTGTCCTGGGGAGAGTCCACCACCAGCATCCAGCCGTAGTCGACGGGACAGCCTCTGTAAGGTCCGTAGATGATGAACCGGCGAGGGTTGGTGGTGGTCTGGGTCGGTGTGCCTTCCATGGTGAACTATGTGGCGTTCTCGAGGTCGTCTCGTGAAGACTTTAGGATTTAATTTTCATCAGAATTGATCGTGTTAGAGAGAATATCAGTAGAATTGGTCGAAAGAGTTATAGGTCACCTCTCCGTGACAATATTGCATGCCAAGAAGTATAGGCCTAAATATGATAATAACAATAAGATGGATTAAACTTCTTTGATATTCGAAACTCCAAAAAATAAGCGAGAAAAGATGTAAAGTTTGTCGGCAGAGCAAGCTCTTCCTAAAAGTTGTATACGGTTGGCAGATCTTATTCATGGCTCTTATCACACCAATTCTTAATAATCCAAGGTATTCAACCACAATACCCAATAGGTTGATTCATTGTCTAAATGTTGGTGTCTTGAAAATCAACTTGCATTCTCTTCTCCTTTTGAAGAACTACAAAACTTTCAAACAGTTGATGAATCACTAGAGAGATTAAAGAAAAATGTTGTGTTTAGAAGCCTCAATGACGACAAAAAAGGGGGGAAAATCCCACTCAACGTGACGTCAGTTTCACAAAGACGGCCAACACTTCAGCGTATCCGACATCCGCGCCGCCCACAGACCACGTGACTCGGGTCGTGGCCGTGGAATAAACAAATCGTGGCCAGGTGGGCGTGTGGGACAAGATGGTGGGACAGTTGTCCAGGGGAGAGTCCACCACCAGCATCCAGCCGTAGTCGGCAGGACAGCCTCTGTAAGGTCCGTAGATGATGAACCGGCGAGGGTTGGTGGTGGTCAGGGTCGGTGTGCCTTCCATGGTGAACAATGTGGCGTTCTCGGGGTCGTCCCAGGACGAGTCCAGGATCCTGTCTCGTGAGAACCAGGATGTGAAGTTGGTGGACGAGGCGTTGAAGATGATGTGGTGCTGCTCCACTCCGTCTTTGTACAGCGCTATCTTCACCTTGGAGAAAAGAAAGAAAACGAATTTTCGATTTACGTGTTTACGTGTTTCTCGGTGGGAGTTGTGGGAATTTTATCTAAAAAAAAATATATTAATGTTGGTGTTTTTGAGCCCTCACTGACACAATTTAGATCGCTCAGGAAAACAGGCCCCTGACATTGGCTGTCAGAGCCAGCCAATCCAGGGTAAAGAGTGTCTCAAGGGTCAACACCGCCCGAATTATATCATGATACAGGTACTTTCTGTGCAAATTATGTCATATACATACTGTCGATAGATGTGCTTTGACAGAGTACGACAGCAATCAGAAACTCTTTATATGCAAAGACTACACCTCACTCTCTCTCTCTCTCTCTCTCTCTCTCTCTCTCTCTCTCTCTCTCTCTCTCTCTCTCTCTCTCTCTCTTACTTACCCTCTCTCTTTCTATATTTGTATATCTTTTTCTATCTCTTTTCTTAACACTATATCTTTATCTCTCTCTGACTCCATTTCTATCATTCTCTCTCTCTCTCTCTCTATCACTCTCTCTCTTTATCTATCTATCTATCTATCTATCTATTTATCTATCTATCTATCTATCTATCTATCTATCTATCTATCTATCTATCTATCTATCCCCAAGACACACCGTCTGATGTTGTGACAATCGATGTGCTGAAAAGACGTCATTATCAATAATAATAATATTATGACGTTTGAGCGAGCATAAAAAATCAGGCAGTTGGATCAAACAATACTTTGTCATAGCTTTATATAAAACATTATAGGTCTACGTCTATTCTATCTAACAAACCAAGAGGTGGGGTGGGTGTATTGGGGTGGAAGGAAAGGGTGGGAGAGGATGTTAAAGGGGGGGGGGGGTATTTCGTAGTCTACCTCTGAGATTTTGCTGGCTTCCCAGTTACTCAAGATGCTGCTCCTGAACGTCTGGTCACACGGCGGGTCAGTCCGGAACTGGGTACATCCCAGAGGTACGTCATACTGCCAGGGAAAGTGGTGCTGAACGCTGTTGTTGAGCCAGGCATCGTAGACAGACAGAGAGTTTCCCGCCTGTGCTCTGTGGAAGGATGTCTGATTTGCGTAAGGGACAAGGAGTATAATAATGCAATTTGAATGGTTATATCAGGAAACAAAGTTTTGTTAATTAATTATTTGATTGATTTATTTATTTATGCATCTATCCATCCATTCATTCATGTATTCATTAATGTATTTGAAATATTTATTTATTTATTTATTTTTTTGTTTATTTATTTATTTTTCCTTATTTTCTTTCTTTCTTTCTTTTTTTCTATACTGTAAATAAACCTCAATTACGTGCCATCGTCCTTACTTGCCATCTTCTTTGGCCTACCACATCTTTTATGATCACCCTCGTTTAAGTGTGTCTCTTAAGTTGTTGACTGTTGACTTCTAATAGTGATACTGATGTGGGATAACCAGGAATGATGTCGTCGAATGTTCACAGCCTGGTGTATCTCAGCTGCACCAAGTTTTAATATGAAAAGGATGACCATAAGGGCGGGAAACGGACGTTTCTTTTAAAGGGATTTTTTTCGGAGATGACGAAATGTTGCTACAGGTTAGTCAATTGAGAAAATTAAATGTTTTTTGTAGTACGTTTATCAGCAAAAATGAGTTTTAAAAACCCCATCAGAAATGCAATAATAATATTAGGCAATTATAAATTCACATAATATATTGCCTATTTTCACAAAGCTCAATTTACTTTACAGTAATAGAAAGAACAGTTCCAGTAGTAATTATTCCCCTCCATCTCTCTCTCTCTCTCTCTTTCTTTCTCTCTCTCTCTCTCTCTCTCTCTCTCTCTCCCTCTCTCTCTTTCTCTCTCTCTGTTGCTTTCTCTCTCTCTCCCTCCACCTCTCTTTCTCCTTCCATCTATCTCTCTCGCTCTCTCTCTTTCTCCCGGTCTTTCTCTTTCTCTTGCTTTCGCTCTGTCTCTCCCCCCCCTCTCTCTCTGTGTCTCTCTCTTTTGTCTCTGTCTCCGTCTCTGTCTCTGTCTCTGTCTCTGTTTCTCTGTCTCTCTCTCTCTCTCTCTGTCTCTCTCTCTCTCTCTCTCTCTCTCTCCCTCCCTCCCTCTCCTTCTCTCTCTCCTCACTCTTTTCACAATACATTCTAAAGTACAAACAGCCCGACAAAGGCTTGCACACACGACCACGCCCACGCACAAATATCGATGACGTCAAACAGCCGCTTGTTAGAGACCGGCATGGACAAAAAGAAAAAAAAAAGAATATTTGCAGAAATAACATATTATCATAATGTGTGTGCATTGGGAATGTCGGTCATCCCGCGTTAAAGCTAACCCCAGGATGTATTGTAAATTGATGCAAAATAGTATACGATAGATGTTTAGAGTGCTTCCGCTTTATTGCAATAGTATCCAAGGACAGCTAGAAAAACAAATGAAGAACTCCTGGTTGAAGCAAATTATAGAAAACAACTTATCACGAATATAAGAAAACGACAGGCAAATTTCTTCGGACACACAATGCGGAAAGAAGCATTAGAGAATATTGTCACAACAGGAAAGTTTGATGGAAAGAGAGACAGAGGCAGACGGAGGGAAAAGATACTGGACAAGATGACAACATGGTTGGGAGCAGCAAGAACAACAGACACCATTGCTGCAGCGAAGGACAGGGTGAAGTGGAGGTCCATGGTCGCTCACGCCAGTCGGCAAGGCACCGGATGATGATGATCCAAGGACACTTTAATGTTGGTTTTAGCTCTTTGTAAGAGTTTTACGGCACTTGCAGTACAATAGGGCCACATAAGTGCCGAAGATTAGAGGAGTCACAAGAGAGTAACAAACACAGAAATGAAGGAGAAGAGACCAGAACAACAGATGTTTGATAGGAAAGAAGGAGCAAACCACACAAGAGCATCCGCAACCACCCGCTCATTAATGTTATACATTATTATGGATTATTATTACAACTCAATACATGTATTTCCAAGGTTTACAAATCCAGCATCAGTCTACAGTCATTAGTGCAGAGCAAACTTTTAGAAACTGGCCAGTTAGTTTTACATCGCAGAATAAAGTTATTTCAAAAGTAGGAATTTCACACCTCATCATCACAATTTAGATAATTTATGAGGCAGGCTTCAATTCTGTGAGGGCCAACCAGGGCTGAGACATACAATGCTGCACTTTAGAATTCTGAGATACTCGACAAAACTTCTCCCCACACGGGATTCGAACTTCCGTTTTCTTTAAAGACACATTTAATGACATTATTTTTTTTATATCGGTACAATGTTATGGCCATTTATGTACTTTGCGAATTGCATTGTGTATATTATTTTATTATGTACATGTATTTGTATGTGCTCATTTCGTAACGATGTGTAAACGTGCGCGTGTAATAAGCCAGTCGACGTGTGTGTGCGAGTGTTTGTGTATGTGTGTGTGAGTGTGTGTGTGTGTGTGTG